AAAAAAAAAAAAAAAAAAAAAAAAAACAACCTTAATATCATTTGTCATTAGGGAAATGCAAATCAAAACCACAATGAGATACCACTTAACACCAAGTAGGATGACTACAATTTGATAAAAAGGAAAATTAGTGTTGGCAAAGACTGGAGATATTGGAACCCTCCAAAACTGGAATGTACTGAAATACACTGCTGGTGGAAATGTAAAACAGCATGGCCACTGTAGAAAATAGTCTGGCATTTTCTCAAAAGTTAAATGGGACTACTGGATAATCTGGCAACTTCCACCCAAAAGAACTATTTAATAGAGAGAGGTGTTCAAATGAAAACTTGTGGACAAATGTTCACAGCAGCACTATTTACAATGGTCAAAATGTGGAAATAACCCAAATGCCCATCAACAGAAGAACAGATGAGCATTAACCATTATTATGTGGTCTAACCACATAACGAAATACTATTCAGCTACAAAAAGCAATGAAGTTCTGACACAAGCCACAACATGGATTAACCTGGAAAACATTATCCTAAGCGAAAGCAGCCAGTCACAAAAGGCCACATATTATTCCACTTGGATGAAATGTCTAGAATGGGCATATCCAGAGACAGAAGTACTACATTCATGGTTGCTTAGGGATGGGAGTGTAAGGGGCAGGGAAGTGACAGGTAAAGGGTACAGGACTTCTCTTTGTGGTGATAAAAATGTCCTAAAATTGACTATGGTGATGGCTGCACAAGTCTGAATATACTAAAAACCACTGAATTATATACTTTAAATAGGTGAATTATGTTATATGAATTATATGTCTCAATAAAACTGTTTAAACACACACACATATTCCAGGAGTGGATGGTTGAGGCACCCAAGCAGGCAATGAGAGCAAGTACCCAAGTCTAAGGGCTGAGCCCTCCACTGGCTGGCTCTCCAGAGACCTGCACACCCACTGCCACTTCCAGGGCCACCTTTTGTCCTCTACCAGGAGCCTCTGTTCTGAGTCAACATCTCCAGCCAAGCTGATGGACTGTACAGAGGTTCTATAGCAAACTCGGCCCAAGATCAGGTTTCCAAATCTCTAATCAAGAGAAAGGGAAATAGAGCACCACTGGGAAAATCTTTAAGCCCTGCAAGTGGAAGAAAAATATTGGTGGCAAATTTAAAGAAATCTCAGCAGTATTAGAAAGAATGACACCCACAAGACAAAGTAAAGAGGTACCTGTAAGAAGGGGAGTTCCTAAAGAATTATCTATTCAAGATAGAAACACAATATTACTTTGAAAACTCAAACAGCACATGACACCCGCTGTCCATTCAGAGTAATCCGTAATCCACAGGAGAGGAAAATGTAGGAAGAAGGTAACAGTTCTCTATCTGAAAAAGCACCACTTCTGGAATAAAAGAGAACATGTGAAAACCATTCTGAGACCCAGCTCCTGCTCCATCTCCTCCAGCTCCTCCTAAGCCCCAGCCTAAACCCCTAAACCACCTGGCTCTCCAAAAGAGGCTCACACTGAAGCCAGCTACAGGAAGTGCCTTCCATTAAAAAAAAAAAAATGCCAAGACTCCTGGTAGGCAGGCCTCATCCAGCTATGCAAGCCAACAAGGAAAGCATGACCTGATAAGCTGCTGGCTCCAAAGCATTGGCTTCACTGGCTCCTACATCCACCTCCTCCTGTCCCCAAGCTTCAAAGAAACACATTTCTAGCAAAACATTAACCACAGGGACCACCAAGGGCAAGGAAAACCTAGCAAGCAGCCAACACCTCAACTACTGTTAGACGCAAACAGTACGGCACGATGAGCCTTAGAGGAGATCTTTCTAGAACAGAGTGGAGAGTCTCAAAACTTAGCAGCCATGCCTGTAGCCAAAGAGCAGATTGCACACAGATTCCACAAGTCTGTGACCCCTGTGTCCCCTGTTCTACCTCCTCCTCTTGACAATCAATACATCATTCCCTCAGACACTCCTGCTGTCCTGGTTAGCGATGGCACTCCCCTGCCCATCTCTGCCTTAGACCCAAGTCAGCTTCTCTGGACTGAAGAGCCAACAGACAAAACCACTCTACACCAGACACTGGTTTACATATTATCAGAGAAGACACAACATTTTCACAGCCAGCAACACATCAGGAAAGACAGCACCTCAGCTAAGGATTCCTGCATTGATGGGAAAATCTTCAGAATCTTTCAGGGTCCCAAAGGATGAAGATCAAAGGGAATCACTGGACTAATGATTCTGATGGGTCTATTTTGGACACCAATGACCACAGGGAAGATGAGGATGGCAGCAAAGGCTGTGGTATATAACACAGGTGAAGGATACTCTCACAATCATTCTTGGCAACTGACCATCTAAGAAAGAATTAGAGGACAAAAACCACTGTGTAGCAACATCTGAGAAAAAGAGGGAATCCAATAACAAATTGGAAAGTAACCAGGAGACTCAGAGGCCCAGAACAGAAGCTATCCTTAAACAAAAGAATAAAGAAGTAGAACAAGAATAAAAAACACAACTAAAAGCCAAACTCGGCAGAAAGCTCAGCCCAAGACCTACAGTGGGGCAGCTGCAAGCTCTGAACCAGGTTAGCACCTACAGACAAGGCAGCAATACAGACTGAACAAAATGAACTTAGTTTCATTGTCCATCATGACGTGTGAGACTATTTGGATCATCTTCAGGGGTAGCACCATGTGCTGAAAACCTGATAACGCCCTGAATGCATGTGTTTCAGCTTCCCTTGTGGTGAAGGAAGAGTGGGCAGCTGCTTTTTTTTTTGGGGGGGGGGGGTAAGAACTCCTCACCTGTACAGCCCAAATGCAGCAATGAGCAACAGGAAGAATGTATTGACCCTTGCTATCTAACAAATGTGACCGATAGTAATGTATTCTTCATCAGGAACTTTATTTTACCTTAACTTTATTTTATTGAGATGGAGTCTCACTCTGTTGCCCAGGCTGGAGTGCAGTGGCGCAATCTTGGCTCACTACAACCTCTGCCTGCCGGGTTCAAGTCAATTCTCCAGTCTCAGCCTCCCAAGTAGCCGAGATTACAGGCGCATGCCACCAAGCCCAGCCAATTTTTTGTATTTTTAGTAGAAACAGGGTTTCACCATGTTGGCCAGGCTGGTCTCAAACTCCTGACCTCGTGAATCGTCCGCCTTGGCCTCCCAGAGTGCTGGGATTACAAGCGTGGGCCACTGTGCCTGGCCCTAGTAATTTTAATTAAAGAAGATAAACAGAAGATACTCACTGGTTCCGTTATCAGAAAGCCAAATTCTATAGTGCTGGATTAAAGAGAAATAGGGAATGCAATTACTGGGCACTGGAAAGAGGAGGGAGTCAAAAATCAGGAAAAAAAGAGAAGCATTTCATCATGTTAATGAAGAAAAGAAAACTGAAGCACAATGGTATTTCTGAGGCAGATATATGGTAGCTGAGAACTTAAAAGATTTGAGACTCTAATCATCCAACGGTGACTTTAAGAGACAGGGTCTCGCTACATTGTCCGGGCTGGTCTTGAAACTGCTGGCCTCAACTGACCCCCAACCTCAGCCTGCCAAAGCACTGGGATTACAGGTATGAACTACTGTGCCTAGCCAGTGATTTAAAGACCTAACCCTAGAGGACTATTCTTGTTTCACCTTTTTTTTTTTTTGAGACAGGGTCTTACTCTGTCACCCAGGCTGGAGTTCAATGGTGCAATCATAGCTCAATGCAGACTCAAACTCCTGGGCTCAAGAGTTCCTCCCACATCAGCCTTCTGAGTAGTTGGGACTATAGGCCTGCACCACAACACCAGGCTATTTAAAAAATTTTTTTTCTGTAGTCCCAGCTACTCGGGAGGCTGAGGCAGG